TAAATTATTAATAATTTATAAATAACTATTTAATAATTTATTAATCATAATATAAATATCTCTTGTGATAATAAAGTAATTAAACTGAATAAAAATTAAATTCTCAATATAAAAAATAAATATTATATTATAAACTTATTCTACATAAAATAATTCAATATTAATTTATAAGTAAGACCCCGATCGTATATTAATGTTACTATATATATATGAATCATCGTTTATGATAGTATAGATGAGTATAAATAATAGCACAAAAGTGGCCCTACAGTGGCCCTACCGCGTTTTGATGGTTATTGAGTTATCGGTTGTTATGAAATGTATGGCAATTATCATGTGTTTTGTGTTTGTTTCTAACAACCAATGTATTCATGATATATATTATTGTAATCATAAGTAAAGTTTATATATAATTGCGTGTTTAAAATAATATTTAGTATACAGTAAATAATATTAATTATAAACATCAAATTAATGAAATTTAATTTACTATAATTTAGAGATATGTTTATATTTTTAGTCGTTACAAAGCTATGTATGTGAGTAATAAATTATTTAAAATAATATTTTATAATATAATAACTTTAGTTCACATTTAATGCCTGAGTTTTTAAAGAAGTTTGAGATTTGTGTATATTTATTGAGACAAAACTATACCATATTTGACGATTATTTGGTTAATAATTGCAAACATAATTATTAAATTGTTGACAATAAGAGAAAAAACAGAAAACAGTACTTTTGGATTAATATAGATACTGAATATGTAAAGTTACATCATTACATCATCATTACTTTACATCATTAAGTTATTTATTCAAATATTTAATCACAATTCAGTTTTGAATAATGTGGTTTATAGGATTGTTTTACCTCTCCCTAAGCTTAGTCAATGGGAAATGCTATTCCTATGACAAGTTTATATGATTCGTATGAAGTTTGTAAATAATGCAAATCTATTCTTTTGAGCATTACCCGAATTGTGGTCAACGTATAGCACCGTTGTGTGAACCTTGTTTGTATTAACAATTTGCAATAACTATTTCCAAAAAGCAATTAAATAGAGTTTAATTATCTGTAATTATGTATTTAACTTACGTGTAAAGTATTTATGAATTTGCATACAATAAATAATTGCTATTGATTTGCAATATATTTTGTTTACTACAAGAAAATTTCATTTGACTAACTTTAATAGACATTTTCATTTTAAATATTAGTACTAATATAAATTTGATTTTGATCAAACTATTTTCTAAAATGACATACAATACACGTCTCTTACTATCTCTTATACCATTTAATTATGTTGAGTACAATAAAATACATTATTGCCATGGTCAACTTAATAATATAACATCCAACCGATATTTAATTATACACACTGATGTAAATAATTTAATTAAATGTTACAATTTTTGAAAATAAATATAATAAATGTTTGTACAAATATTTAGGAAAGTGTATTATATGGTACGTTCTTGTCATTTGTCCACTATATATTATGTAAGCTAAATCTACCAATTGTTTTTGTTTCATCAAGGGAGGTAATGTAGATATATTCAAGACTGTTGCATTTAATATACGACCCCCCATTTATAATGTATAATTCCTATACGGTTTACGCATTTGCGTAAATTTAAACTGTGATGGATATATTAATTATTGAAATAATAGATTACTAGTAAACTAATTATCTTAATAGCTTAGTTCTTAGTAGGAAACCTTTTAAGTTGTAGGTTCTTGATCCTGTAAGTACCTGGTGAGTACTGTATGAATGTATACAACATGGCAACGTTATTGATTTTCCAAAGTCAGATTGTGCCAATGGCTACTCACACCCGAGTTTTGGCCAAATTTATAGTTTATTTCTTACGTTTTTAAGCTTTAATAAATAATGAAATCACATTTGTAACATCAATAATTAAAATATAACGCTATAATCCAGAAAATGTTTATAAATTCGGCAAAAACATGCATGTCTATGCCCAATGGCACAATCTTACAAAGGAATATTCATTTGGCAACCACACTCTAAACATACCAACCCGTTCAGGATTGGAAACTTATCTAGTATTATAATATATGCTTACGTTTAACTATATGATATACAATAATTATGATATAAAGTAATAAATTATAATAAATAAAATTTATTTAGTGTCATACGTCATTTAATAATTTTGTATCGTCGGCATTATTTCCATATATTGGACTCATTGGTGTTCCTTACAAAGAGTCATATTTGATCCAGGTTGTCAGCGGTTTAAGAGCTACCAGGGATATTTCATTACTTGGCATAATAAAAACGTTTCATTATCAGGTTTGAATAAATTATGTGTACATTAGAAACAATATTAATACCTAACTGTTGTGTGTAGTGTTGGCCAATAAATAAATATTAAAATTTTTAATTAAATGTTATTTTATAGGTGTGGTTAATAATAATTTTATACGCATTTCTTATGATTGTGTTAATTAAATATAAATATTCTGATATAACTAATTTGCATCATATAATAATTGATATATTTGGTCCTATAATTAATCAATCGTTTAATTTATTTAATAAAATATTAAATATAAATACAACTGGAATATCAATGATTGCATTGATGTCTATATGGCTGTTGAGTTCATTAATAACAACACAATTATATTGTAATGATTTATTGAACTCTTATATTAAGGTGAAATCAGTACCAATAGTGAACACAATTGACGATATATTAAATAATAAAAGCATTCATATAATTGTAAATAAACATAGCATTAAATCAATTATCAAATATATGCCACAATTAAATCATTCAATGCTCGCACTCATTGATAAACATGATAATTACGAGCGGTTAATGAATAAAACATATGGTATGAGTGATTATATAAATGATGAACAATTAGTACAACAACTAATTGCCGGAAACATTGCATTACTGCCCAACTCTGATATTTTACACGATTTCCGATTAAAATATAATCGCTTTTATGGCAATCGATACTCAATTAGCGAAAGCAAATATATTTTTGATTTTGAATTTTTTATAATTTCCAATGGATGTAATTATAAACATTATTTAGTGAACATGTGAGTTGTATCGCAGATCATTCGATTCAATTATTAATGAAATTGCTTTGTCACCTAGGTACAATCGTGCTAATGAATGTGGCTTGGATCACCATCATCAAATGATTAAGTCAATAATAGTGAGATATATGTACGTGGAAAGTTGTAAAGATGATAAAAATATTATTAAAATTATCGACAATATTATGGATGAGAAATATAATGACATAACATTTGCCGATATGTCTATAAATGCATTCTCGCTGTTAATCATTGGATATTTCATTGCAATCATTGCTTTTATCATTGAATTAATTTCTATAATTTATGTATTAATTAATATAATGTACTCAATATTTAATTTGAGAGTAATATTATTAATATAAGTTAATGAATAATTATTATAATTGATATTTTATTATATTACTTGAATACTTATTTAAAACCTATTTATTATATAGAAAATCTAGATTTATTATTGTTTAAATTTGCTATAAAATTTAACATGAATAATAAAAATTTAAAAATATTAAGTATTAAGTCTATAACTATACTTTAACATGGGGACACTTTAACATGGGTTTCTATGGGATTACAGCTTAAGTCTATGACATAGGGTTAACATAAGTAATGCTAAGTCTATGGCAATGGTAAGTATATGGACAATGGTGTTACTATAATACTAATGATAATTCAAAGGGCAATGTAATATTACATTGTATTCAAAGATTGTGTCAATTGGGAGGCATTATCATGAATTAGAATAATCGATTTTATCAATATATTATAAACATGGTTTAAATTGAAGTGTTATTACGATTTAAAGCAGTAACAATGTACTTTGACATAATCGAGTTATCGGTTATTATGAAATGTATGGCAATTATAATGTGTTTTGTGTTCGTCTCTAACAACCAAACACTGTATTCATGAAATATATTATTGTAATCATAAGAATATATAATTGCGTGTTTAAAATGATATTTAGTATACAATAAATTATATTAATTATTTTTATTATTTAACATCAGAATAATGAAATTTGTTAATTGTAGTTTATTAAAATTTACAGTAATTTTTATATTCTTACTCGTTGCAAAGTTTTGTATGTGATTAATAAATAATAAATATAATATTTTATAATATAATAACTTTAGTTCACATTTCATGTCTGAGTTTTTAAATAAGTTTGAAATTTGTGCAGAAATTCCATCAAATTTAAAACAAGAAATCAAATTAATTCATGTTTTCAATGATTCTTATGATGAGAAAAACCTATTGTTTGTGACAACCGATGATCGGGTCTATGGGTTGGGCAGTAATAGTGAGGGAGTGTTGGGTTTGGGACACAACCGACCCATACATACGCCCGAAGAAGTTCTAGAACTAAGTGATCACAATATACAACAATTTTTTGATGGTAAAAATTTTGTATTTACTTTTGATCATGATTACCAGTTATATGGTTGGGGTCACATCAAGTCTATCAGAGAAGACATTTATACAAAACCCCATAAAATACTATGTAATTTACATGATATACGAATTGAGAAAATATCATGTTTTCAATACACAGCCATTGCTCTCGCATCGGATGGACGAGTATTTCAATGGGATTATAATCCAAAGAATAAACAAAAACCAATTATTATTTAATTTCCCGTTGAATACAGAGTTGTGGACATTATCTCTGGTTATGACAACTCATATGGCATTACATCCAATGGACGGGTCTTTGTTTGGGGATATATTAAAAATAATGAGATAACAAATACACCAAAATTAATACGAAAAGCCGGTAATATAAGAGTTGTTTGTAATATAAAAGAAATAATTATGTTATCAAATGATTGTAAAGTATACAAATGTTATGTCCATCAGGACATGATCATGATGAGCAACTTATTGTACACTGAGCTAGCTCACTTAAATAATGAGTGTGTTTTAGTTGGTATGAGTGGTAACAAAGTGTACGAATATATCGATCCAAATGTGTTTATTGAGACAAAATATACAACTTTTGATGAATTCTTTGCCAATGAATTTCAACTCACTTATAAAACTTGCGATTTAACTAAACTTGATAATTGTTTTCAAGCAAATAATACAATACAGAATTATGGTAAGAAATATATACTTTATTTAAATTATAATAAAATATTAATTATAATAATAAATAATTAGAAATAAGTCGCCAAATAAATGGCATCGAAATGTACGATATATTGGATACGTTAGGTTCCGGTGGTTTTGGACAAGTGTTTAAAGTGAAAGCAGATTTTAATGGAGATATATTTGCAATTAAAAAGTGTCACTTATTTGGTAAGAATAAACTATTTTAATATCAAGTTATATAAATTAATAACATTTTATTTAATGTTAGGTTTGTTAGAAAAACAGAAGCAAAATATTTTGAAAGAAACGGAAAAGATGTTAAAATTGCGCTCAAAATATATAATTCAATATTACTATTCATGGATTCAATTCAACAATTTATACATTCTTATGGATTGTTTGGCCGGAAATTTAACACATGTTTTGAAAAACAAAAAACAATTATTTGGGAAAACAATGACTGAATTTGAATTTTATATATTATATAAAATATTCAAACAATTGGTGGAAAGTGTGGAGTATTTGCATAAAAATAATATTATTCACAGAGACCTCAAACCCGATAATGTGTTGATTGACAACAATTATTTGAATTATAGTGAAATAAATAAAAGATTTATAAAGTTATGTGACTTCGGTTTGTCTAAAGAAGTGCATGTATTGAGTGATAATTATAAACAAAGTAGTGTTAAACACACCGCAGATTTCAAAGACAATGTTAATTATATGGCACCCGAAGGACAGACCACTGATTACAACCATTTAATAGATGTCTATAGTCTGGCACTCATTGGAGCGAAAATATTTGGTTTTGATTCCAGAGATATCAGAGACGGAGTGTATGTATTGTCCATATGTTAAATCTTGTTAAACTTACATCAAAACTACTTATATTGGTATTTAAATATAAAATATAATTATATTTATAGATTTGAGTTTAATTTTGAACAAATTGACAATGTTAAATTAAAGATTCAATTGGTCCAAATATACACCTTATTGTTATCAATGAGTGTTAGTATATATACCGACACTGATTGGAGACAAAGACCTGAATGTGATGTAATTTTACATACATTAAAACAGTTATTGATTGAACCAATTGTCGATTTAAACAATTTACTATCTAATAATATATTGGAAAATAAATTCTCAATATTTTTAGAATATTTTATCAAGTTCCATAAAATTTGTGTTATTTGCCAAACATGTGATAAAATTAATGGTAAAAGTGCTATTCTGAATGTATATTGTATAATTAATTGTGAATTAATAAATTTAATTATATTTAAGAAATTGTTGATGCTGAGAAGTGTTTTGGAAATCAACTTGAGCATTTAGAGAATATTACCCACTTGGAAAACTTTATCAAAGTAAAACATATAATGAATAAAAAGTTTTATTACATAAGCAAATACGACCGAGAAGGTAATTACTGTATATTTTACTATATTTAGAATATGTAAATTGTCATTACAATTGTATAATTAAATATGCTTTGATAACTATAATAATATTATTTAAAACTTAATTTATAGTTTGCGAACATATGGAGGAAATCCTAAAGAATATAAAGAAAATATTTGAATTAAAACTACAATATTTGCTTCAAATCTATAACTCTTGGATTGAAAGCAATAAGATTTATATTCAAATGGAGTTTTGTTCGCAAACTCTATGGGATGTCATAAATGCGAAACATGTAATATTTGGGACACAAACCCATCACTCGTTGGCAATTGGTGGAAAGTGTGGAGTATTTGCATAAAAATAATATTATTCACAGTGACCTCAAACCCGATAATGTGTTGAT